AGAAAAAATATAAAAATTTTCTTTTGTCAAATACAGAAATTAAATTTTTACAAAAAATAAAAATTAAATTAAATTAATAAAAAGTACAACATAAGGAAATTTTTATTTATAAAATTTGAAAAACTGAAAGTAGTCAACATATAATACATACAACTGTATTCGTAAATCATCCAAATGACGTTATCACATCACTAATTTTGATCATTCGAAAGGTGTCGGCGGTGACAATACCAAAATTGAATTGTCACATTTTATGGCATAGCCAAAACAGTTATAAGTATTTAGGTGAATACGGATAGAGAGCAAAAGTAACAGTAATAACAACAAAAAAGAAAAACCAACAATTTAAATACATACTATGCAATAACAACAAATAAACAGAAAGAAAACAATGACAAAAATAAAGAAGAAAATAAATGTGAAGAAGCCGGTGTAGCAAAAATTAATGTTGAACTAAATATTTCCACTGAAGTGAAAAAAATTAATAAATAAATAAATATTATAACGTAATCGCCGGCACGCCCAACCGCAAAACCCGCTTGGCGCTAAGCGCAAAAATCACAAACACTTCACCCTTCACCTCCTCTCTTTCACCATACCATTTGAAATAGTGAAATACAAGCTCTAAACAATAAAACAAGTGACCAGCATTATTTACCATCTATATGTATGCATGTTTATATGTGTATAGATATGTATGTGCATTTGAGGTGATATGTGTGTAGATAAGTATGTGCATTTGAGCATACGATAGCGTTTGTGGACTCAGGTTAGCTCCTATGTGACTTAAAGGGCTGCGGTTTCACATAATCATAATAATCGCATAATAATCGCACGCGAAAGAGAAATTAAAATACAAAATATAATACACAATCGCAAACATTATGTATAAAAGAAATAAAATCATATACATACATATTTACGTACCTACAGAGAAAGAAACACACCTTCCTAAGATTTTGCCGAGCTAAGCTTTTATTTAAATTGAAATCATGAATGACATAATAAAAAATAAAATATAATATAATATACCAAATAAAGTAAAATAAATAAATAAATTAAACTAAAAAAGGAATTTAAAAAAATACAAAATAAAATAAAAATTTTACCAAAAAAAAAAATAAAAATAAACAATTAAATTAAACTAAAAAGGAAATTTATGAAAATACAAAACAAAATAAAATAAAAATTATATTAAACCAAAAAAATAAATAAAAATTTCAACCAAAAAAAAATAAACAAAAAAATAAATTAAAATGTGTAAATAAAATTAAATTAAAAAAACTATATGAAAAAAACGCAAAATAAATTAAATTAAACTAAAAAAAACGGAAAAAATTAACTACTAAAAGAAATAAAAAATCAAAATTAAATTACACTAAACAAACGAAAAGTTCCAAATAAAAAATGAAAATAAAATAAATAAAAATTAAATTAAATTAAATAAAAATAAAATAGCTCAGGCTACAAGTGGGTAGCGTGCGTACTAGCATGCGGAAAGGATCCCAGTACCAACCAGCATACATAATTATAGAAAATTAACTAGTTCCCGCGACAGTCAGGTCTTTATACCGGAACGACCCGGATTTTTATCCTGCCAAAGACTGTCACTCCCGCAATATTCCTCGAAAACCAATTCGGGGAATAATTTGCGGTTACTACAACAACAACATAGAAAATTAAAAGTGTAAATAAATACATAATTATATAAATAGAATATAATAAAACAAAAATAAAATTAAACAAAATTAATTGAATAAATAAAACTAAAATAATAATGAAAGTTAAAATGAATAATTAAAAATAGATCAAATAAAAAATTCACTTAAATAAGAAATAATATGAAATATAAAAAAAAATAATTAAAATACTATAAATAAAAATTAAACAAAATTAAGCTAAAAATAGTAATTGAAATAAAAATACAAATAATATAATAAAATACTTTAAAATATATAAATGTTAAATAAAATTAAACTAAATATATTAAACGAATGAAATATTCATTATTACAAAATAAAATTGAAATAAAACAAAATATAAAAATAAAAAAAAAAACAAATAGTAAACATAAAATTCAACAAATAAAAAAAATTAAACAAAATTACTAGGATTACAATTAAATAGAAAATAAATACAAAATGAATAAAATCAAATATAAAAAAAAATTATTGAACTTAATTTAAAAACATATAATGAAAGAAAGAATAAATAAAAAAGTAAATATGAAATACATCAAAATATAAAAAGGTTAAATAAAAATAAACTAAAAAATTAAATTAATGAAATAAAGTAATGAAATATACAAAATGAAAAAAGTTAATAAATAATAAAAATAAAATAATTAAAAACATCAAACAAAGTAAATTTCCACCGGCTGTACTTATAGCGCCGAAATTATGGTTTAACATAAAAAAAAGCAATCCTCATTTCAAAGGTGAATAAACCTCTCGCTGAAGAAACTCACTTAGACGGTGAAAATACGCCTTATTTCAAATAAATAAACATAACTAAAAGACAACTATATTATTTTTTTTTATATGACATACTGTGATAAGACCTTGAAAATTTGTAAATTAGTTGCTAATTATCTAATTGATCACAATTGAAAAATACAAATGCATGCAAAAGAAAAAGTTGTACCAGATATTTCATATACTTCCATCAGTGTGTGTGAAAGTTTACACGTACTAGATATATAAAAATAAAGTTAAAATAAAAGTTATGAAAACAAAAAATATAAAAAAAAATTAAAATAAAAGATATAAAATAAAAAACATAAAAAAAAATTAAATAAGAAATAGCAAAACTTTTACTTAGTCCACATAGCAATAAAAGGAGAGTAAACTGTTAATTTGAACTTTAAATATTTGTTGCTAGGCTATTTTTTATTGCTTCCAAATAACATTTTGCAAATTTTTAAAATTCAAAAATAAAAAATTCCATTTCAATGCACATTTAAAGAGAAAATTAAACATAAAAAATTTGAACGAAGAATTGTTGTTTTTTTTTAGAAATAGGGAAAACTTTTGTGTAATACTTGGTACTTATTGTGCACTAATTCCAACAATTATACGCTTAGATGTAGTGCTTTCATCCAATTTTTTCTTCAGTCGTTATTTGCTCAACATATGTGCAGTAATTTTAATTTGACATGATACATTTTTAGACACATTCGATTCAAATTTTAATAAACCATATTTTTCAATGTCTTTCGAGCTATATAGACACTTATTATTAATATAACAATAGCTCCATCCAGAAACGACTTTGCACCCTTTTTTTTGTGTGTTGTTTATTTTTTATTTTTCCTTTATTTTTCAACAAAGCTTTGAAAGGTTAAAGCTATTCATCAAACGAAATATTCCGTTCTAGTTGTCCTTCTTCATTTATTATTTATGGTACTGTACGTTGCCTTCACTGATTTTTATAAAGCGAAATCCAACAATACGCTTATCTATGGCATTTCCTTATCGAATTATAACTATGTAATTGTGTAAATCTACACAATTGTTATTACCTATAAGAAAGTGTAAGTTATCTATAGAAGTATGTTTTTATTCCAAAATTTCTAAATTCAAATGGGTAATATCTAACGGTCTTATCACGAAACGATAACAAGATTGTGTGTAGGGGCTTTGTTGTTAAAGGATGAAGAGAAGCTTTCTAAGACAGTTGGAACTGGATAATTACATATATACATATGCAATTTAAATAAGCAGCTTTAGTTTACATTCGATGCACCAATTTGGCGGATATAATCGGTTATTTAATTACAATTTTCAATCAAATTAGTTTAGGTCAAATTGATGTTCGACAAAAACGTCCCGAATGTACTTAGGCCGTTGTGAGAATATTATTTTTAGACCATTATGCTGGGTTATCCACCCACTTTGATTATTTAATGAATCTCATTAGATCAACTATCCAGCGGTCAGCTATTTTACATAACACCTCAGTTGGTTTTTGCGAATTCTGTCTGTTGTTGTTGTTGTAGTTGTAACCGCAAAAATATTCCCCCAAAGAACTTTTTGGGGAATGTTGCGGGTGTAACAGTGCTTGGCCGGATAAAAATCCGGGTCGTTCCGGTATAAAGACCCGACTGTCGCGGAAACTGTTGGATTTTGGTCGCCTCTTAAGACATGCATACCTTACTGCGGGTAAATTTTTGAGCCCCTAACTCGCAGGGGAAATCCTATTCAAATTCAGAGCTGCTGCATAAGAAAGGAGAGAACGTTTCATTATCTATAGTTTTACCACTCAACTTACTCAACAACTTGATTGAAATGTCAAGAGGGATTCCGCATAACATCAAAGCATTTAATTGTGCAATGATTTTGAGAAGAGAAAACAAATAGTATAATACGCGGACAAAAATTGTAAAATGATTGTTATGTATTACGGGCATATCAGCTATTTATATGTACATATTCAAACGAGTATATCTAAATGCTTACCATAAGTAATTTATCTTTATAATTCAATTAAAAAAAAATATATATATATACATATGTAATAGTATAGCCGCTGAATCAGTCACCTCCAATAGGATAGTCTTACACATATTAAGCAATCAGAAACGTTCGCACATCAACGCTAAACCTTTGCATATAAAAAATGTGAGGCAGGCATCTCTCTTACTGAGCCAGCAGTTATTAATAATATTGTGGTATATTGTTTACAAACTACTACTACAATCAATTTGTATATATACACATACATATGTATGTGTAGATATGACCGGACAGCAAGCATGTCAACGCCTTCTGTTCCCTAACTTCTTTCATTGATTCATTTATTCAACTATTCATTCAACCACTTAGACATTCTTCTTCAATTTGCTACTTGTTGACGTATAAACACTTTTAGTAAACTTCAAATATGACTGTTGACAGAACAGTGGTATACCCAGATGCACAACAAATATATAATATATATATACCTAGATGTTATGTACATACATATATATATAATGTGTACGTGTTATTGTGTATAAATACCTCATAGTTACGCTTATCTGACTGATAATCCTGCAAAATACGTGATACAGTGCGTTTGGTTGTTGAAATTACTTGGATTTCAGTATCCAAAATTTGCTTCAAACGACGCACCACTTCAGTCTCCGTCTCCAGTTCATTGTCAACGATGCATTCCGCAATTGACTTCTCAAGTTCGCCTGCAATTGAGTAATGCACACATTAGTGGTGTCTAGTTGATATTGTATAAGTTTATAAATTTTATAATACTACTATATACTCGTATGTATGTACATTTAAATTTACACAAGTATGCATGTACGTTTATATAAACACGTACATACATACATAGGTACTATAATGGTACAATTAGGGATTGCGCGAAAAATAGCAAAACAAAAAAGGTCAAAAAGTATAGTTGAAATGGAAAAATTGTCAGATGAACAATAAAAAAGACAGTAAAACTGTTAAACATGAATAAGCTGCATAATTAGCATTTAGACATACATACGTGCATACTACGTTAGTATGCAGATACATTTATATGGATGTCTGTTTGCATCAAAGCATATGAGACATGCAGGCATAAGAAACAATAAAAAATAAAAAAAAAATTTAATAAAATAAAAAAATTTAAATAAAAAGAGAATGAGATAAAATAATAAGAACAAAACAACTAAAAATATATATGTAATAAAATAATAAAATAAAATAAAAAATAAATTAATATTAAATTTTACAAATTTAATAAAAAAATAAGGAATAATTAAATAAAAAATTAAATTAAATAAAGAAAAAACATAAAATAATAAAAATGAACTCAAAAGGTATAAGTATAAAAAAATGAAATTAAATTCAATAAAAATAAAATAAAATGAAATGAGATAAAAAATATTAAATATAAAAATATAAACTAACTAAAGTATAATAAAAATATAAAAATAATATAAAAGATATAAGAAAAAAATATAATAAAAAATTAGGAAACTTAAAAAAATTAAATTCAATAAAAAGAAAATGAAATAAAATAAGAAAAATAAAATCAAATGAAATGAAATGAACTCAAATAAAATAAAATTAAAATAAAAAGTAAAATAAAATATAATGAAATGAGATGGACTCAAATAAAATAAAAAATAACAAATTGAATAAAAACTCAGGAATATATAAAAAAGTTAAAATTAAACCAAATAAAGTAAAATATAAAATAAAATAAAATAAAATAAAATAAAATAAAATAAAATAAAATAAAATAAAATAAAATAAAATAAAATAAAATAAAATAAAATAAAATAAAATTAAAATAAAAAGTAAAATAAAATATAATGAAATGAGATGGACTCAATAAAATAAAATAAAATAAAATAAAATAAAATAAAATAAAATAAAATAAAATAAAATAAAATAAAATAAAATAAAATAAAATAAAATAAAATAAAAAGTATAACAAAAATTTTAAATAAAAAAAATTAATTAATAAAAAAATATATTTTAATCATAAAAAAAAAGAACAAAAAAATTTAATTAACATAAAAATAAAATGAAATATAATAAAAAACAAAAACAGAAATATTAAATTAAATTTAATAAAAAATTAAATGAAATAGAAAATAAAATTAAATAAAAAGTTAAATTAAATAAAAAAAATTAAAAAAAAATAAAATATTGTAAAAAAATAAAAATAAAGCGAAATTCTAAAAGAAAATAGTGTGAAATGAGATGAAATAAAAAAATTTAAAAAAATAAAATTAAAAAAATGCAATATAAATAAAACTAAAAACATTATTATAAATAAAAAAAAAAGAATATCATAAATAAAATAAAGAAATACAAAAATAATTTTAGAAAGCAAAATAATACAAAAAGTATATCATATAATAGAAAAGTATCCATAAAAAAATAAAAAAAAAATAATAATGAAATGAGAAAAATAAAATATATTTTTACAACAAATAGAGGGACCCTACACGCCTAGACGCCTGCTAAAGGCTCGTGGAATTTTCATGTCAGAAATATATATTTCTCCCATTTTTTGAATCTGTTGTTGTCACTGCAATGTACATATACATATATTTTAATACTACATTTACTCCTTTTCGAGCCGAAAATTTATGAATTCAAGAAAAACCAAGACAACGCTTAAGCAGCTATTTACATATAGATTTTCCACGATATCCGTATTAAGTGAAAAGTATATGGTTGTGTCGTTTCAAACAGTCTATCGCATATGAGTGACAACCAATATCAAAAGTTTATCAAAGAAAACCCTAAACTAAAGATTAAAAGAGTAACTTGAAGTGAAAAACTAAACGGAAACATAAATCTAATTAAAAATGCCCAACATCAAATGTAATGAATAGTTGGACATATGTCGAGTTACATGCAAGCTCGGTCACAAACTGAACGTGCGGATGAAGAGATAAGTTAATGAAGAGTGTTTTTAACAACTTGGTTGACCGCACGCCAGCCACACCGTAACAGCCATCCCGGCTGACTGAAAGATGAATGTGTTACATAGATGCACATTACTAACGCACACAGACATTAGTAAAATGCTGAAAACGAAAAAAAGAAGATAAAACTGTTAGTGCCAGCATCATGGGGTATAAATGAAATTCCCACAATGCGGCTGAAGTGAGCTTCGAGCGTGTGTTTTGGTTGCATGCCTATTGGTGGCTGAGCAACAGTAGACAACTCTCATAAACATATCAACATATATGTACATACAAATATTCATGAATATACACATACTTGTAGATAGTTTGGGTGAATATGCATGCAATAAAGACGCTGTTGCAGCACTTGGAAATTGTTACATAATTAGCAATAATATAATTGGTAATAAAAAAAAGCCAGTCAACTTTTTTCCTTTCAGTTGTACAAGAGTGTGGTGAGCAGTAGTAATTATTGAGATATGTACATAAAACTGTTATTTTCCAGTTTAGAACTTGATGTTGGTCCAGAATATTAAATAAAGGGGCCTTAAATGTATCCGTATTAGTAACAACACATAACCTTTAAGGTCACATTTCCTTTAAATTATGGTTTCTTTGATCTCTTTGCTGAAGCGGAATGCATTTTGTAGCTAGCCGTTAGATCAACTAAATTTTAACCCCTTACATTCGAGAAGTCTATGAACAAATATATATATGTACATATATATAATATGTGGAAAATATATAATACTAATCACTTTTTATATTCGTTAGTATGGACAATTCAATACAAATTGAAGGGTTGATAAAAATTCTAATTTACTTTATAGCGGTGATTTAAGATTTATAAAAAAAAATTTTGGAACCATGTACCAGAGTTAAAAAAAAAAACAAGATAATTAATCAAGTGAGATTTGAAATGAAAGTTTTGAGTCAAACAGACAAATTCGCTATATAACTGACAACGAGGGCAAAAAGCAAAAGGCACAATAAACGTAATGACAAGGCCAAGTGCAGTTAAGGCGAGGCCAGCGCCAGCACTACCACACTCATCGCAATTGACAGCGTTATTCACTATTTTCCATGTGACCCCATACTGCAGCGCAACTCTTTTGGGCAATCGAATAAATCAAAGAAAATCACCAATCCGACGTGCCTTCCGTCAATTGTTCGCCCAACTAGCATATACACATACAAACATTAGATTAGACATAAGTACATACATTCTTGTACAGGCCGTAATCGGACGTAAACGACTGTGGGTGCATATTTTATGACAGCAAAACTTAAAAGAGGAAAAATTTTTACAGAGTTAAAGAAAGTATGATTTAAGGTATTGCGTGTTACACATATATGCCATGGGCCTCTCCCTAAAATGTCGTGTAAAAATTCCTTTAGCATTTATCAACTATTTCAGATATTCACTTAATGTTTAGAAATATACTGTTATGATATACATTTATATGAACGTAAGTATTTCGTTTTTGACCTTCGCGTTTTATCTACCAACAAATACATACACAATAATTTATTAGTTTTTTTGTACAATACGTACCACAATTTGTTAGCACATGATGTAACGGCATCTCCTTGGAAAGATCTCTGGACGACTCTTCCAGTGCTTGTCCAATTTTGTAGTGGCTATTCTTCCTGATACGTTTATCCCGCTCTTGGGTGTCGGTTGAAGAACTGACAGCCGGCAACTTGCGCACCATTTTCTCCAAGACATCTTTATACTTTTCCACTTGTTTTTCTATTATTTCTAATTCAGAATCTTTGCAATCGGATTTGTTAGATCTAAATGGGCGTATACGAAAAAATAAAACATAATATAAAGCATGTAAACCAGCATTTTACGATGGTTGTATTATCCTAGTCACTAAAACCATCGAAGAAGAGCAGATATTCATAAATAAACAAGGAAAACACCGACACACCCTTCCAATTATGAGCATATACAGCTGCCAATTGGAAGATTCTTTTAACCCCCATACCAACCAATGACAGTCACGTCGAGCGCTTATTGACTTTTGAAATCTCAGCACCTTTTATGCATCGGCATTTATGCAAACATATTTCTATAGAACAAATTATCACACTTTGTGTCTAGCTTTCAGCTTATGACTTTTTGCTATCCAACCATTGTCTAGTGTTTACCCAACTCACCTCCCCAAATTTTCAGCTGCAATTTTAATTTTCGTGAATTGTTTCTTCATTTTTGCAGCACTTTACAATTACACCGTGCCCGTTTTTATTTTTCTAATCGAATAACTGTGTTTTGTTTCTTTTCTCACACTTCAATACTTCGATATTTTTCTTCAATTTTTGCAGTAAACATAAAAATTAGTCATCCTATTCTTCTATCACCAATGAAGACGAGCAATCAACTCAAGTTTGTGAAGCTTTATGAGGTATGTTTACTTAAAGATTTCAAACTTGACATTAACTTAAATGGGTATGTTAAACGGCGAATAGAAATATTTCAGAAACTGCATAGAAAAATATCAAACCACAAAATATACCACTTAATAACGAAATGTGTGCTAAACTCGTTTGCATCATGACCTAAATATGGCTAATCGCTGTTGTATTCTCTTCAAAAGTTCGAGTTACCTCATATAAAAATTAATGCAAAATATTTTCAGTGTAGACGAATCGGTACCACTGAACGTACTGTTGTCAAATTTGACATTTAAACCTGCTGTTTTCTCTTCAATGTTTTCGTTTTAATTTATTCGCACACGTGTGGAACTCTCAAGTTATTTGGTTCAAAATAATTTAAAATAATCTTCGTAGAAAATATATTTAAAGTGTCGCAATGACAATACAACTTGATAAACGCGGCTTAATGTCGCTAATGCGTACGGAGAATGAACGTATAATGGATATGTTGCTTACTTATAATGTGCCAGATTCAATTGAAGGTAAGCCTTTAGAATAATTTATAATGCATGGACTTCAAGGGCAGTAACTTATTACTTGCTTCATTTTCAGATATCCAATATGATGATTATCTGCTTGACAATGATAAGTCTGCTGCTAAAGCGAAAAATGCGTTGGGTATCCGAAAGGCAGCACCGATCGACGAATTACAGGATCGACTCAATATTATAAAAAATAAAATGAAAGCTAAAAAACGACCAGCCTCGGAGCGATCCCAAAAGAAACGAGAAGCTAAAAAGCTAAGAAAAAATAAAGAAGTTAAGAAAATTTTGGTTTCCGCAGCCAAATCCATCAAAAACGAACATCAAAAACTCCTTAATGCTGATGACGACAGAAATGAGGATAAGAAAGATATTAAGAAATTAGTGCCTAAACCCGTCTTTAACGAGGAAGGTAAAATTGTGTTTTCTAAATTCGATTTCGCATCACATCCCGGCGCTAAAGTAAAAAAGTCACATCAAAACCCTCGTGAGATTTTAAAGAAAATCAAGGAAACAGATAAGAAAATAAATGAACTTAAGGAAAAGGGCGAAGTGGAGAAAGCTTCAGAAATAAAAAATGAAATTGCCTGGAAAAAAGCTTTTGATAAAATCGAAGGTAAAAAAGTAAAGGACGACCCAAAGTTGCTCTACAAGGCCATTAAGAAGCGAAAGGTAGAGAAGAAGAAATCGAAAAAGGAGTGGGTGGATCGTAAACAAAAGGTCGAGTCAGGAATAGAACAAAGGCAAAAGAAACGACAAGAAAACCTCAACAAGCGCATCAAGGACAAAAAAACCAAGAAGCTGAAGAAGTTGTCCAAAAAGGGAAGGGTGATACCGGGTTTTTAATAGCGTTAAGAAAATACTTGTAGATTCTAATATAATAAATTAATACTTTTAGAAATTACAGATCTTAATAACCTTACTTTACTAGCGCAGACACCGCTTACGCGATTTTGATCGATTTAACAACATTGCGCCATCAGGTTCTTTTTTTTTCTGTTTGGCGCCAATTGGAAATACCAAGTACAGCCAGGTCCTTCTCTAACTGGTCTTTCCAAGGGTCTTCCCCTTCCTCTGCTTCCACCGGCTTGTACTGCATCGAAAACTTTTAAAGCTGGAGTATTCGCATCCATTCAAACCACATGACCTAGCCATCGTAGCCGCTGCTTCTTGATTCGCATACACATACACGTAAAACTCGTACAGTTCATCCTTGCATCGTCTACGATATTCGCTGTTGCCAATGCGCAAAAGTCCATAAATATTACGCAAAATCTATCTCTCGAAAACTCCTAACGCCGACTCATCAGATGTTGTCATCGTCCATGCTTCCGCACCCTATAGCAGGACGGGAACGATGAGGGACTTGTAAAGTTTGGTTTTTATTCGGCGGGAGAGGACTTTACTTTTCAATTACCTTCTCAGCCCAAAGTAGGCTGACGTTATTATTGGTGTCAAAGTTATAACTGTGAACAGTGACGTAGAGCCGAGTCGCGAATGCGATAACTGTTTGTTTGATGCCAGGAGATATTTCGTCTTGTCCTCCTTCACTACCAGACTCATTCGCATCCCTTCTTTATAATTATGATGATCTTAATAATCATTGAACTTAAATTCACACTGATTTGTATTCAAAAAAGTATAATTCAGTCGAAATTCCTCTTAAATACCCATATAATATAAGTTATTGTGTTTCGGTTGGATTTATTATTAATAGTGGTTCTTACATATGCTTCTGAAAATATAGATTCGAACAAATACAACGTGATTAAAAAAATATTTAAAATACGAATTTGGTGTTATTTATTAGAACAGCGATAATAGTTTCTGACAATTCAATGATTACATTTAACAGCTGATATCTTAATATTTAAAACATATACAAGTTTAAAGCTCACTGAACACACCGCCTAACGCTATCGCTTGTAGTGGCATTTTCTGTGTTTCTTCGTTTATTTACGTTTTGTTTGAAACACGCTCGGTCGCCGCCGACGTCTTCGCTAGCGTTTTAGCAGAGTTGATATCTGTAGACACCATTTACAAAATTTCATAATCATCATCATGGAATTTTCTCTTAAATTTATTATAAAGCTCGACCAGATGTGACTTTTAATATTTATATTCTTTATTTTACTTTTCTGCTATCTCTCGTATTCGATTTTCTATTAATTTTTTCTAATGCAGGCAGGTTTGACGATAATTTTAAGATATTGCAACTCTGATCTCGACTGTCAGACACAACAGTAAAGCAGCAGAAGCACATGAAGTCAGCAGTGCAGTTGAAAATCATGAAGTTTGCAAACGGTACAAAGAAATAAAATAATAGCAAAGAAGGAAGTGAGAAAGCGAAGACAAGAAGAAAGAACGAAAGTAAAATATATTTTGACAAAGTTTTTCACATTCGCGGAACGAACTACGTCTTATAAAACATATTAATCTGGTCAAAATTTGACTATAATAAAATTTTTAATAAAAATTGCAAAATACGCGCAAATAATCACTAAAAAGTCAACGTTGTCTGACAAAAGGGCGGAAGGTGATGAAAAGCGATCAAATAAATCGGAGCCGCAACGTGACCAAAAAGACTGGAAAATAAGACATTTAATAAAATTATTTTTCATACATTAAAATTCACAAGTTGTACTGATAACAAAAGGAGGAATTAGTGTAGCTTGTTTTAGTGGAATTAAATAAGAAACATCAGGGAAAAGAGATTAAATTGCAACTGAAATAATTATGAGTGTTGTGCGACACTTTGTGCTATTGTCACAATTGCCGAGACTTGGACCAAATTATTACTGGCTAAAAGGTAAGTCCAAAAATTGGACATAAATATTTAAATACAAATATTTAACTATAATCATGTTCACGATATTACGTAGCAATAAGCCACTGGAAATGTCTAAGACTTATAGAAACAATATATAAATATTTGTGTATGTAATTTTACATTAAGTATGTAACACAGTGAGACTCTTATTTTTATTCAAAGTTGTGTCTTTATTTGTTCTACAAAAATGTATACATATGTATATACACATTTACATACATATGTATGTATGGATTCTAAAAAATAGAATGTGTTGAAGATTGTATACTACGCCACGATCGTATAGCACGTAAGAAAAACAAAACGTGTATATAGTATTATTACGTATGGATGTAGAAGTGTAGCGAATAGACTACCAAGTCTGTAAACATTTTATACCTTTCACCCTTAACAAATTTACATATGTACATACATAAATAAGTGTTTATATATATTTACAAAACAAGTTGTTTAGCAACCAGTCGACGTTTAGAATCCCTCAGTAACATTAATATTCTGCGAGTTCTGCTTATATAAGCTTATTAAAGACCCAACCGTTTTGAAGCCTTCTTTGAGTAGTACTAAGAATTAAGGTAGGAAGGTACGCACTTCATTTTAAAATATACTTGAGTATGTATAGACACAGTAATTAGCAGCTTAGAGATTTAAGAACTGACCTGTTCCCTAGACAACCTGATATTTTTACCTGAACGTCCCAAACCTTTATCCTGCCAATGAATGCCACGCCGGTAACATAATTTTAAAAATTCATCAAGAAAGACTTTTTTGGTTACATTAACAACAATAGTGTTTAATTTACTTTTATTCTTCATTAATGTTTTATATGGTTTTTCTATTTGATATTTGTATGTATATGTGTATAAATAATTTTGTAAATAAAAAAATGAAGCAATGCGTTTTGTGCGATAGTTATTATTCTATTACTCTTAAATCCTTCTCATAAGTTCTACCAAAATGCAATAATTTTCTTAATTTGTCTGGCAATTTATTTTATACATATATAAATATGCATACGCTTTTGTCTTTTGCACCATCTTTGAAACATACGTATGTATGTACATATGTACATATATGCGTTTATGTGTACACTCACAGTAAGTTAATAATATACAAAATTATTTTCAGGGTCAAATAAGCAAATTTGAATATCGAAACTAGTAATTAAACAAAGAAATAGCAACAAACAAAATCTATTGCAATCAATAGAGATATGACTACATACATACATATGTACATTTGATGTATCTACAAATATATTTTATATAAATTATTACCTTCGTACATATGTATATATGTATGTATAATATTTCAGATTTAATTTTATTTTAAAAAATTAAACTCGACGGCAAAATCGTTTCTTCCAGGCATATTCCATAAAAAATAGTATTTACCAGAATAATAATTATTATTAGAAATATGCAAAAAAATTGGGCAGTAACTGATATATTGTAGAAATAAAAATCTTTCCATTTAGGTTAGGATTATTTTATATTTTTATTGTTGCCAATTGTATTTCATAATTAATTTCAGGTACTTTTGCACATTGTGTCATTGTGTTTTTAATGAAATTAAATTAATTGATTAAATTTGTGTTTCTACGAAAATACAACGCGTTTCCTATAACTCAAAACCAAACTACACTGTTGTAGAGGAATTATTGCTATGTTATATCCGTATGACAATTTTTTTTTGAAAGTCTTCCTTTTACAAAAAGGTTAAAATAAAATATAGTTAACAAAACATAATCAAATTCATTATACTAATACATCTTACAAGCAACGTAAAAACATTAAAATCTAAAATAAACGTTATTTGCAACGGAAAAAATATTTTTTAAAAAAACTCTTTGGAAAAAATGAAAAACTCACGAAAAAAAGTTTTTTTAGGCCTGTATTATGCACTGGAGGAAGCATAAAAGTAGTTGTATTTTTTGAATTCCTAAAAAATAAAGAAAATTCCATAAATTTTTAAGTGGTATCAATGTTTGTTTCTATTTTTCCGCCCATGAATGTACTTTTGTACATAAATATGTTTGTACACATATGCATCGTTATGCAAAACATTAAGACAAAGCAAAAAAACAACCATCCAATCCACCGTAAATTCGCACAGTTTGCTTATTGCGTACATCTTGCTCTTCTTCTACTCCACTTTGAGCTGATTAGCGTTGAACTAATGACATATTTCTCATAGGTTCACTGCTAAATGCACTCTAAAATAAATAATTACAACAAAAAGGTGTATGGTAGTTGTGTTGGTTGTTTTTTCTGACTCGTTTATCAATCACAGAAAAGCAGTTAATTAATATTTTTTTTTTTATGAAATAAAAACAAAGAAATAAAACCAGTTCGGTTGGATTAAGAGAATTTTGCGTATATACATACCTTTTCAAAATATTTATGTATGTATGAATATTTGTATACTTTATCAATGTAAATGAAACAACTGATTTGGCACTTAACTTTAAAAAAAAAGCACTTCTGTTTTCACATAATTTTTTTTTATTGCTTATAACTCATAATACTTGAAAAATTGTTTGTATGTAAGTATTGCAATTTCATCGTCACGTAGTACATTGGAATCACTTCACGTTCGTTTGATAAAAGGCTATAAAAAAAAAAATGTGTGCTAGTCAATTCTTTACGGTTTAAGGTTTAGCTAATTATATGTGCATATGTTTTTACTAAGCTAATTAGTTGCTTACGTACATAAATACGCACATTCATACCTACCTGTACTGATACTAAAGGTAATGAACCCGCCACACGTGACCCTGTGACCACTCCACATTATACATATGAGAGTCTGAAACGTTTTTGCATTTCGATTTGGAGACAAGGCTAAGGCCGATCATAATAAACAAGCTGACTCACATTCTTACTTGCATACATACATATGTATGTTTAAAGAGGTTGTTTGAAAATTTCATAATTCTCATTTAAGAAATACTTCTTTGCTTGCGAATTAGAGCGAATTTGTTTTTCTCTTTTAAAATTAAATTTGAGCAAATTGAAAGGATGGTAAGATTGCTACCCAAAAAGGAAACAAAACTGGCTTGATTGAAATTGGGATCTCAAGCTTCTCTATATACATACGTGTATATACCACACATACATATACAATATATATCTTCTAGGTTGCAATTTAACCAAGAAATTAGTTGTCCACCTAAATTTAGTTACTTCAAAGATTTTTAGTACAATAATAGCGCGGGAAAATATACGAAGAACCTCTGGTACGTGGAAACTAAAGTCGGAGGATTACATCACACCTATGACCGCCATAAAAATGAGAAACAATATCTTCCTTTAGGTCAATACCGACGAAAGAGCTCGTATAATGCTCACATTTGCCTTGATAAGTGCAGAGTGCAATTCTCAGCATAATTTGCGATTTAAATAAAAGTAAATTTCATTGATATATAATATGTGCTCACATATGTATGTGCGTATGAATATTCATGTATATCTACTAGCACATTTAAATAAAAAACTTTTTCTAGAAAAAATGTACTTTTGCTGTATATATCGGTGTGGTAAAAAGAAATCCATTATTTTTTTCCAATAGTTAGCGTTATTTAACTGTAAGTCCGATTGGGTTCCGCCAGCTGACATTAGAAAGATGACATTTCGTACTAAAAAAAAGCTTTTCTGCCAGTTTTGTGATTGGTTGATTCAATTTTGTTTGAACGTGCGTCAAAGATGGACACTAGCGAAGAGAAAATACGCTAAGTTTGACAATTTTACTGCGATACATAGTATATGATACCGTAATAGTCGATCATGCACAATTTCGGCTTCATTCCGGTTATTTTGATATAAGGCCAGTTGTCGAAAATGTCGATAAACTCATGGACATTGTCGAGTCCGGACGTCATGTAAGCACTGTTTCGCCCAATAGCTAAAGATTGCACAAAAACCCGTTTGTAATCATTTTAATAAGTCTGGATACGAAAGGAAAAAAATAAATCATTCAATATTATGCAAGAATAATGGATTTCTATTTACTACACCTAATGTCATGCATCATATATGCATATAGATATAAGCATGCATATTAAAACGGACAAAGTCAAATGCCAATGACCGCCTTTAATATTTAAAATAATTTTTTCATTTATTCAGCTGATTATTGGCTGTGCTGTGAAATTTTTTAGATGACATAAAATTTAATGATAATTGGAGAACAAATAAATATACATTATATAAATGTGTGTGTATAAACGCTTTGGCATTAAATGGGCCAATTTTATTTTTCTGTTCTTCAATTCTATAATTTTAAGGATTTGAAAAGTTCATTGTACTCGCTAGGATTTTTGCGCATTTAAAAATTACACAAAATATACTCATAAGTACGATCATAACATTTCATCATTTGATTTTGACTACATATTTTCTACATACCTTTTAATTCACTTTTCATTTTCCTTCCCAAACAGGAGTCTGTTGCACCAGCGTCGTTAGCCAGGTCAGAAATTCCAATGGCACGGTCACCTCAACACGTTGTTTGCACGATCACACAGATCGCGGAGATGTTTTTCGCTCAATAAGCGTAACAGCCACCGCAGCATCGTCGGCTGGCAGCGGCAGTACCACCAACGGCAGCACCACATCGGGCACAGGCGGTTCGATGGGTGGTGTTGGTGATGGTGGTGGTGCCTCGACAACTGGTAGCGGTGGTGAGCCACCTAATGATAAGAATATACTATCCTGCCCGAAATGTGGTAATCCATGCACCCAGGTGGAGACGTTCGTCAGTTCCACACGTTTTGTTAAATGCGCCAAGTGTAATCATTTTTTTGTTGTACTCTCCGAAGTCGATACAAAGAAAAATACGAAAGAGGAACCGAAAAATTTTCGCAAACCACCGCCACCACCACAGAAGATTATGGAATATTTAGATCGTCATGTGGTCGGGCAGGATTTCGCGAAAAAAGTACTCTCCGTCGCCGTTTACAATCACTACAAACGTATACACCACAACCTGCCGCAAGTGCAAACACAAGCAAACCTACAGACCGCCGATGCCATGGGCCGTAATGATTTGCTACATATATCCGGCATTGGACATACAATATCCAATACGCCAGGCAGTGAATTGCCACCGAAGGCCAATATGTCCGGTGGTGGCAATGGTGTTGGTGGCGCACATCATGCACATTCGGAGAGTGGTTCAGAAATATTGGATAAACAAAATTACGAAGTGAAATTAGAGAAAAGTAATATTTTGATGTTGGGTCCAACAGGTTCGGGTAAAACTTTGATTGCGCAGACAATTGCGAGATGTCTGGATGTACCGTTTGCGATCTGCGATTGCACCACACTCACACAAGCTGGCTATGTAGGCGAGGATATTGAAAGTGTAATTTCAAAATTGTTACAAGACGCCAATTACAAGTGAGTCACACTTTACCATTTGATAAGTCAAACAATTTTACTTATGACATATTTGTTTCTTCCACAACTTTTCCCCTCTCTTTGCTATTGTTTTGCCTACATTTTTTTTTAATCTTTTTTTTAATTTTTGGTTGTAATTTTTTAAAATTTTTTTTTTTTAAATTTATTTTTATTTTTATATTTTTTCTTGTTTTTATATATTTTTTTATTTTTAAATATTTTTTTTAATTTTTTATATTTTTTTTAATTTTTTATATTTTTTTTTATATTTCTTTTTTTATTTTTTTTATTTTTATATTTTTTTTATTTTTATATTTTTTTCTATTTTTATATTTTTTTTATTTTTATATTTTTTTTCTTTTTATATATTTTTTTTTATTTTTATATTTTTTTCTATTTTTATATTTTTTTTATTTTTATATTTTTTTTCTTTTTATATATTTTTTTTTATTTTTATATTTTTTTCTATTTTTATATTTTTTTTATTTTTATATTTTTTTTCTTTTTATATATTTTTTTTTTATTTTTTTTTTTTATTTTTTTTTTATTTTTATATTTTTTTTTTTCTTTTATATTCTTTTTTTATTTTTATATTTTTTTTTATTTTTATATATTTTTTATTTTTATATTTTATTTTATTTTAATATTTTTTTTGTGCAGTGTTGAACGTGCTCAAACAGGTATCGTGTTTTTGGATGAAGTCGACAAAATCGGCGCTGTGCCCGGTATTCATCAGCTGCGCGACGTGGGCGGTGAAGGAGTCCAACAGGGTATGCTGAAAATGCTAGAAGGAACTATAGTTAATGTACCCGAGCGTAATTCACCGCGTAAACTTCGTGGGGAGACTGTACAGGTGGATACAACGAATATTTTGTTTGTGGCGTCTGGTGCCTACACTGGCTTGGACCGTCTGATTGCAAGACGAGTCAACGAAAAGGTTTGTGGTGGAATTTTTTTTTTTTGCTTTTTGTTATTAAATTTCATATATATATATTTCAGTATTTGGGCTTCGGCATACCCTCAACAAATTCGTCTGGACGTCGCGCCGCCCAATCAAGTGCTTCTCCCATGGACAGTGATCAGGAGGAACGTGACAAATGCCTGAAAAAAGTGCAAGCTAGAGATCTCGTCGAATTCGGAATGATACCTGTAAGTGTGGAAGAAGAAGAAGACAGTAAAACTGCTGACTTTCATTTTCATTTTTCAAGCTCAAATCAAAAATATATAAATACAAATTTGTTGCATCAACTATTTTATATTTGCTTCACAGGAATTCGTTGGTCGTTTCCCTGTTATCGTGCCCTTCCACAGCCTCGATGTGAGTATGTTGGTACGAATTTTAACCGAGCCTAAAAATGCCTTAATACCGCAATACAAAGCGCTCATCGGCATGGATAAGGTGGAATTAACATTTGAACGTGAAGCCATCGAATCGATAGCCGCCATGGCGATGGAGCGTCATACCGGTGCACGTGGCCTGCGTTCAATTATGGTATATTGAAATAATCATGTTTATATTATTTGAATATTCTTTGATTAATTTGTTTCCCTTTTGTTTGTGCAGGAACAATTGCTGCTCGATCCTATGTTTTTGGTGCCCGGCTCCGACATTACCGGTGTACATATAACCGCTGAATATGTAAAGGGCGATACCCAGCCAGTGTACGTACGCAAGGAAAATGGCGATGATAGTACCGTGGATGAGAATGATAGTGAGGGTAAAAACTATGAGGACAGCGAAAGCGCCAAAGTACGCATCACGCAATAGAGTGACGCTACACGAAATGTACTGTTGTTACGCTGCTAAGCCACATGTTGCATTCATTTGGAATGTGTAAATGATTTCTTTGTACAATGAAATTAATTTGTATGTCAACATTTCTACGAGACAATCCCATCAGAGCGGAATACCCCGAATTGTTTGTTATATGTTTGCGGTTGCGTTGTGGCGTTGCGTTGTTCCTCCCTTTACTACTACTACTACTACAACTACTTCAACAACAACAGTGACAACAGCTACACGTCTTCTACTACTAGTACTATTTGTACTCCTACAGAGAATATTCTCTGTTATTGAAAAGCGAAAACAAAAATAAAATCTTACAAAAAAAAAATGTATAGCAATTAGAAATAACAGCAAATAATAATCAGTTAATATCTACATATACTATATATAATTATATATACAACATTATTAAATCAGAATTTATGTATATTTTTAGTTTATATTTTGCAATAAACGCAAAAAAGAAAAGTTAATGAATATTTCACTGTACTGCGACTACATATGAGAATGGCAAATGTGAATTACTTCAACAAAGAAAGCCCCAGGCGCTGTTGTTTACCGCAAATTTAGTTGAAAGCAAAATTCGAAAATTTACAAAAATCTAAACACTTCTTGTATACGTAATGAAAAGTGAATTAGGATATAAAAAAAATTGTTTAAAAAATGCAAATTGCTACAAGTTGTACAAAGAATTATATCTCTACTTGAATACAGGTCAAACTCAAATTGTTTCTATGAGACATGTTAAAATGAATACACAGTTGGGTAAAGAAGCAAAAAAAAAAAAACAAAACACTAGAAATTGTTGAAAAAAAAAATTTTGATAGCATTAAATAATAAAATGTAGTGTCAAGTTTTATTTTAAAATAATAGCGTATTTTATATAATATATATATATATATATATATATATATATATATATATATATATGTGTGTGTGTGTATATAAATATATTATAATAAATAATTCAAATAAATCAAAATAAAAATAAGAAACAGGAAATAAATTTAAATAAAAAATTAATTAATTAAGTCAACAACCAAACATATTGGGACTAATTATAATAACTTTTGCATGTATGTATGTATATGCTGCATGTTTGTTGATGAGTTTCAGCTTTGGCCATATTTTATTGCTCTCAATCGCTTCCATCTCGCTCTCTCTCCGTGAGCAAAGCTTAATATTTTATTTCTATTTGACTTGTATGAATGTAAAATATGCAAGTATTTGACTAGATTTGCCGCCACTAAACGTTTATTCGTGTAGTTTGTTGCTGATTTTGACTGCCTTGTCCCAAAGCATGTGCACTCGATTTTTTAAATATTTTTTTTTTGTTTTTTTTGGTATTTCTTAGGGTTTGAAATTTTTTCTTTTGCTTCATAAACAATGAAGAATGGCACTAATATATAGTAAGTATATAAATAACTACAATGTTTAAAAATATATATATATATGTATATATAAAGAGATTGTTTTATAATCTAAAAAAAAGTCGTTGCTGCTTTGCCGTGCTTCGTTAAAAAAATATTTGTTGCATTTTGTTGATTTTTGTATAAAAAGGCTGGCACAAACTTTGTTTTGTTCAAAGTGATTGTTCAAGTGAGTATGTGTGTATGTATGCATATGATGATTATTCGTTTTCCTCAGAAATTAGTAGTTCATATTCCTGCGCCGCAAAACGATCCCAATCGGATGACTAAAAATTTAAGAAATTTAAAAAAAAATTTTGTATATTCACAGTTTGTTTCTTATATTCTTTGTGCTTACATATTCATCTCGTTGCGAGGCAAACGGATCGCGTTGTTCATGATCCAAATATTTCTCCAAATTGAAGAATGTGTCGAAGAAGACATGTGTCATTTTGCAGCGTTTCAGATCGCCCAGTGTGATGCAATCACGACGTGCAGGTTTTATCATGTCAAGCATCTGTAAAAGTATGGAGTTTTAGAAGCTTACGAATATCACAAGATACTCGTTTATATATGTACATATATCGAATAATAAAGGATAGCGAGTGGCCTTGATTAATCAGAATAGCAAGTAAGTGAAGAGACTTGATAGGCGGTCTTAAACTAATTCGCAGCGATCTAATCGCTGTTGGCTAACAATTAAAGAAACTACAAGCATGCCAAAGCACCCTGACAACAACAACAACCCTGACTATCAAATACCTAATTCGCTAAAGGGGGATTAGGTCGCCGAACATCCCCCAGGCACAGCAGTAAGGGAGTACTAATCTACGTTAGACAAGAGCGCCTGGGCAGGACGGCGTACCGACAGGCTTTAAACGCCATTCATATAGAGTATATCCACACCTTCATAAACTCAATTCCAGTGAATGGCGTTCGATCTCGGATTTCAGGTACCACTTACTGCAGAATTGCTTCCAACATGCGCAACCTAAGATGTGCATGCAATAGATCCCGCACGGCACTAACCATCGCTTTACATGCCCCCTAAAACAAACTCAACGTTGTCCTGCTGTTCTTATTGTTGTTTTTATAGACATAAAGCCTTCCCCAGAGTAGTATTTCGGGAAATGTTGCGGGAGTGACAGTATATAAAGACCCGGGAGTCGCGGAAACAGGCATGCCTGGCCGGTGGAAAATTCTTGAAAAACTATCTAGCCCTCGTCCCCTGGAGCTTCTTTAAGATGACCTTCAAACACATCTCTTCATAATAATAATCGAGTCAAAAATAGTACGTTCGAGGCAACAACAATCAATATTGTAACATATAACAGATCGGGAATGACGAACAATTCGCAGAGTTTGGTCTTCAGTCCAAGATTGGCATATAATACTGTTTTTGGATATGTAGTTACAGTTACAAGACGATACTCCAATCCTATCCCTGCTTCCTTGTCATCTTCATGAGCACTTGAACAGCCTTTGTGCGCAATGCAGTAACCAACCCGTGTAGACCCACTCCATTTTGTTCAAATTCAAAGGTTCACCATAGGTGACCGTGCGGTCAGGCATCCGTCTTGCGGCAAGTGGCTCTCAATATAATAGTAGAAACCAAAAAAGAAAAATATCTAATGACCAATGTTCCGGGCATAGTGTGCTTTTGAAAGGAGCTTATCTCTAGTCTACTTAATCGCATTGAAACCTAATCCTCCATTAGTTTCTTTGCTCGAATATGACGAAGATTGTCAAGTGATAGCCCGCCTAAAGGATAATAACAAAGGGAAGGGGGCAGATAACTAGTCCGCCGAGCTATTCAAATACGGCGACAAGCAGTTGACAAGCCATTGCATCAGCATCTTTATAAAGTATGGTCGGATGAAGGCAAATCCGATAGTTGCAATCTCAGTATGCTTTGACCATTCCATAAGAGACTGCGTTAATTATCGAGGAGTAAGCCTCCTCCATGTGGAACCTCGTGACTATGTGTTTCATGACTGGAGATATTGTGCCCCAGCATTTTTCTTCAGATCTTTTCATTTAATTATTTAATTATCAACTAAGCCTTTGCCGTATCTCCTGTCCTGACTCTATTAGACCATGGGCGACAATAACTGTCCTTTGCATCCCTCGAATAACTTATTTCCTGGGTAGCAAAATGAAATCTCTTCAAAAACTACACTTAACAAACGCTGTATCTTCCGAGCTTCTCTGCTAATAAAGTACAGGGCAATGCTTACTTGACATAAACAGTCCTCAAACGGCAACGTTTCAATGCCAATCGACTCCATACGTTGTTGCTGTTCCTCATAGAAGTACTCCAATTCGTACATGGACAACACCCCATCACCATCGATATCCATACAACGAAACCAATACTCGATTGCGGTGGGTGTACGCTTATCCTCCTCGGAAAGCAGAAACCACACAAAATCGGTATAGGACATTTTGGGCTCATCATCCGGTTGTTTCTTATTATCGCCACGCGTTACACAACCCGAAAATATGCGCTCTACAATTCGTGTTGATAAAGCATGATCACTATGTCGCGCCAAATCATCCTGATTGATGAGTAGATCATGATCTTTATCCAATTCCCAGAATTTGCAATAGATGACGTAGAAGTGTTCATAGCTGAAATAAGCCATAATTTGATTGATATCGTCCTCCTCTTCGAGTAGCGTTAACACCTGCAGACATATACAGATATAGTTGTAAAAGAATACAAAACCTTAAGCAGCGTCAATAATATACTCACTTCCAATAAATCGGATTTCTTCAATTCCGATATGTTTATTCTGCCCGACCAACACCTGTTAACCGAGTAGAATATTCTCGCAATCACGGTATGTACATATCTGGAATGAAACTCGGTGGCCTCTTTAAGGAACGCCAAGCCAGGATGTGTATCGACCACGTCTTGCACTAGCGGTGCCAAGTCCTCTGGCAGTATGTACTGTCGAAAACGTTGACCACGTGATAAAATGTAAACAAAACGCGACGAGGCATCATGACAATAAACGTTCATTCTGTAAAGGAATAACGAAAATTCCAATAATATTTCTGATTATCAGCTCAGCCACTTGTTTGTGGTGTATCATTTGTAATTACTGTTTCCAGAATTCGACGAACCGCTGTCGCTCCACCAAACCAGAATTACCCTGCTGACAGAAGATCATCACCGGCATTCGCCAATAGAAGGGTAGACCACAGATTTTCAAAATGCGCGGCAACTCGTCTTTGGTCACCTGATTATTCGGAAATGAATCGAATGCGGCCAAAATGCCGCGCGAGGTGCGTTCCACTGCAATTTGTGGTTGAGGTTTGCCATGTGGAAAGTAGAATCTGAAAGAAATAAAGAATAATGCAATAAAAGAAATGCGGCTTCCGGCAGATCCTTCTCGCACTTACCTGGGTATGTAAGCGCTTTTGGTGTTACGGATTTCTCTTTGCACCGAATTATGTTCCGGCGGTGGTGGCGGGGTTGAATGCAATTTTACCTATGGAAATACGTATAAACCATTACTGTAATATCTTTCAAATAAGCAATAAAAGTGCAAAAATATATGTAAAACTTAGGTAAGCGGGCAACGAAACCCGATTTAGGTGATCATTTTTGGGTTTGCTTCTTCGCTTGATCACTTGCAGCCAACGAGCTGAAAAAGATTGAAGGGAAATATAACTCAGCTATATTAGACAAGGGGAAGTTCGGAGACACTATTAATAATCCGATGATAAATACTTTAAGAGTCATACACTGTTGGGCGTAATTGGTCAGCTTAAAGGTAAATGCCGGTAAAACGAATACGATACTTTTTACAAAAAAATACGACAACCCTTCTCGGAAACCTGCTAGTCTTGACGAGGGGGGAACAAACATTTATGAAGGAGAGGAAGAAAAAGTAAGTAATAGTCTCATACACTGGTGTTAAACAACTTTGGTTTTGTGGTATGCGGCCAGCGAAATCTTATTCGAAAAAAGATTTGAACGAATATAGCAGATGGTTGCACTATGAAAAACCGAAACGGTATGAGCCACTGCAACGGCTGAACCACATACCACCAATCGGCTTTTCAGTGAAAAGCTTGGAAACGAATTTGCTGTAAGAGTCTTGGTACAATGCTGATTAATCAAGCAATGATGGGCAAAATAGATCACGACTAAAGCGATTTTTGACCGAACTTTACACCAACTTGTGATGTGCGCCTTAATAAGATGGAGGGACCTGCAATTTCAATTAGTTCTAAGTCGCCTCCGAACGCCTAATTTTTCGGATTTTTCTTAAGAACATTTTATTTCATATCGGATAAGCACTCGAAGAGGGGCGACCGATAGTAGAAATCTGTGCTCGAGCTCATGAATCTTCGCATAGCATCACGCACGATTAGCAAATCACTACTCGACTACTACGGTTCAGCTGGAAAAATAAATAATAAAAAATTCAAAATCTTTAAAGTTAGTGCACCCCTGACGTAAGACGAAAATTATTGCAATTAAGTACACACTTCCACCAATAACATCTTTCGTTTTTGCAGATATTAAAGAGCGTGGGTTCATAGATGAACGCGAAGGCGGTGAGATTGCATCGTGTGGATTGAAATAATACCAACAAGAGTACATTAAAATATTTTTATAAGTACTTGTATGTACATATGTACTAACCTACATACATATGTGTACATATATCTGCCGAGTATATGAATTTCATGTGTATATTGAAGGTAAAGTTCTTTGCAAAGTGGCCTAAAATAGTTTATATATCATGTACGTTGTATGTACGTATGTACATACGTAATATATAAAAATAAAAAAATTTTTACCAAAATTCATTAAATACTCACGGGTCTTTGTGTAAAAAAGGCTTCCCAAGCTTAACTAAATTATCTTATTTATGCATTAAATTTACATACATATGTACATATATATATAGTAGATTAAATAAAATACTTTCAAATTGTTTACACATTTTTACCACTTGTTTGATTCAACAAAAAAAAATATATAAATTATTGTACATCGTCTTTTCTTTGTGGTTCGAAAAATTTTACACCACATATAAAATGATATGTTTGTGTGAGGCATTTCGCTCAACAAATGCAGCCAATTATGACGCTTGCCATCAAATTATGCTTGCCATTGTTGCATGCTACATAAATTTACCGGCGAGTCGACACACGACGTAATCGAGCTCAAAAGAGGCCGGCCTAAAGTCCATCGATCAGATTACATACATATGTACATCGTGTCAAAAGACAAACACATGTATATTCGTTTGTATGTAGGCAGCTATCTACACCCATTCATATGTACTCATATGTACATATATTTCATATTTTTGCAAGCAAGCAAAAAAAAATATTTTCTATTTTTTTCCAAAAGGTGTTCGAATTTCGGTTTAATGAACCTGTCACAGCGCTAAAAAGGGAAATTATACAGTCGCAGATAGTTTATTCTGTATATATGTATACTCGTATATGTGTATTAGTGTTCCACAATTTGATTTAAATCGACTGAAAACCTCTATAAATTCATTTTTTTCGATAGTTAGATTTTGACAGAGAGAGAGATAGAGAGCGGAAGAGGGAGAGAGAGATAGAGAGCGAGAGAGAGAGAGAGTATAAATCTCTAAATACCCGAGTATCAAGCAGAGCAAGACTTTTTATAAATTTTTTTTGTTGCGATGATACTTTTACTGGTCGATTACCTTGCCTCTACTATCCTATTGATACCGAAATATTGAAAATGAAGACTGGTCCTGACAGGGCTTTCAACTAGAAAATCGTTGATCGCTTCTTATTTATCATGGTTTTTATTGCTCCAGCCGCATCTCTCATAAGGATCCCTGGCTCTGTACATGTCGTTCTATCAGACTTATGTTCACCTTCACAATCTCCTAAAGTTGACACATCAGATATTGCTTAAATTGTGGAGACATAAACGCAGAAGCGGGACGGTAATGATGAGCGTTTTGTAGAGTTTAAGATAAATCAACTATCCCATTTGAATGATAATCTGCATCTCCAGAGAGTCACTGCTGGATATGCTCTATGGGCATTGGTTCATATTTCTTAAAAAAAAAAATATGCCAGCAATGTTACAGTCAATGGGGTATGCTATAGAGATATGATTAATAACTCTTTCTTAACTGAATGACAGTATGCTGATGTGGACGACCTTTGGTTCCAACAAGAAGATGCTTCGTGCCACACAGCCAGCCAAGCAATCAATTAAATGATGGAAACTTCTGGTGAGCATATTATCTGGTGCCCTGGATCTGTGGCATGGCGTCCAAGATCGTGCGACTTAACACCGCTGGACTATTTTTGTGGGGTTACCACAAAGAGTAGTTGAAAGCTGGGTCCATTGGCTGGAAGTCTTTCGAAGCAGCCACACAGCTCACTTGACGGAAATAATTTTTAAATCATCATGGCAAGTCATTATATTTACTATGATAAAGCTAGATTCCTTACCACAACCTTGCTCTCAAGACCTGTCCTCATATTAAAACCTGTTAACGATAACATCGTCGTAGGCAATACGAAAGCGCCAACACCTGAGTTCAGGCAGCCACATTCCTCTTTGGTAGGCATGGTGATCATTCGCGTCTCATCATTTGTGAGATGAGTGAGGTTACGTATACGCACCGCTGTGCCAAAAATCAACTTAATCGATTGCAGGATTTTTCATTATAGTTTTAGCTTCTTTTTAACAGATTTAATGTTTAAAACATTTTTAAATGTAGGTTTGGTATTATACATATGTATATGCGGCGACATTTCGAGAAATGAGAGAGACGGGAATATATATATATACTATATGCTTCAAAGTAAAATTATCTTTCATTTAACTCACAAATCGTAGCGAAAATTAAATAAAAAATACATAATAATATATAGTATAATTAAACTAAGTAACTAAAATGAAGATTCAAAAAATATAATTGCAAGTACCCTAATGTATATACAAAACTACATTTGCACTATATACATATGCATACTTTTCGATATTTTCATAAACGAAACGATTTTCTTAATTACTTAAGAGATTTTATCTTCATGGGAAAAAATACAAAAATATGTGTGTATATTTAACCATTTTAGCGCATGTTTTTGTTTAAATAAAAAATCATTCGAAACGTCACAAGAAGAAGAAAACATCAACTCAGCCAACAACAGCCAATACAAGTACAACACAAATGAAATTACGAAGAAATTAAACAAACACTAATATATACATATATATATATATAGATATGCATATGTACATATGTGAATACTTTCAGCTATATGCTCGTACATATAATATATATTACAATACATTCACAAATAAAGGGAAGAGAAACAATGGCCAAAAAACAAGTTTTCCGAAAAGATAGGGAAAATTTCGAATGAGTGATTTTCCGATTATCCGATTTTCAGTTCGTTTTTTGCGAATTGACCAATATTGTTTGTGTAGCCCCCCTTCCAAGGTAGATAGCTTCGTTGCGTAGGCGTTTATGTCTACTACGTAAGATGTATTGACCGGTGATCGCTGAAATTAATGTTGACTTAAATATGTAGAAAGATTGCACAAATATTGTAGACAAGTACGTGTGTGGATATGTGCGGGCTATTGTACTTGTTTAGGAAGAACGAATGTGCAATAAATCACAAGTAAAGGAATTTGTTCGTCAAACTAAGCGCGAATTTCTTTATTGAAATGTGTATAATTTTATTTTATATGCCCCGCAATCAAATTAATTGGCAGAGAAAAAAACTACTTCGAAACTAGTCAAACAAGCTCAAGTAGTTAACCTACTTTCTTTGCTCCCAATATGTAACTGGTATGCTTTTTTATCAAATACATATATAGCAATCGTCAGATAGCGATGAGAAATATACTAGTCTTAGACTACGCTTTATTTTTGGCTCTTTTCTATATTCAATATTGTGATTTTACTTTTTTGCAACTAGTAGCACGTGTGGGCCTATTAGGTCTAGTTCGATTTCGGTAGTAAAGTAGTACTACTTTCTACCTGCTTGATACTTCCTCGCCGTTCGATTGCATGTAATTATAGAAGTGATCAAGGCAATGAATTTATAGTAAATATTTATTTTCTTAAAAGCAAAATAGTCATTCAAATAATTGAAAAATTGTTCATTTGTGTTATAAAACCAACATGTTTGGCGATGCAAGTAAATCTTAAATTAGTGATTTTCAGTAAGATTGTTGAGCAAATATGAAATACTCGTATTTCAAATCAATTCTACCGAGCTTAGATGAGCATGAGTGAGCCTGGTGAGTAAGACTCAAGCGCTAAATATGATTTTTTTTTAATTGAAATTGAAATAAAATAAAGTAAAATAAAACAAAGACAAAAAGCTAAGACTAAAATAAAAAAATAAAAAATAAAAAAGAAATATTTTAAAATCAACTAAAATAATATAAACAAAATAACAAGTTAAATTAAACAAAAATTAAATCTAAACTAATTAAAAAAATACAATTAAATAAAGAACT